TCACATTTTGGACTGTGAGGGTTTTATTAAAAAAAAATCCCAAACCGTGATTCAAAGCGCAATCTTGAAATATTGAACCGCGTCAGAAACACGTCAGCAGCCACGTCAACGGCCCAGTCAGCAGCCGTAGCCAACCAGGACTTCCGCGTGGCAAGACCACGTCGACTCGGGAACGGGCCACGTGGGCGATTCGCGTGCGCACGATCGAACGGCCCCAGATGCACGCGCACGGACGGCCCAGATTCAATCAAGCACGGAAAGGCGCAGATTTAATCAAAATGGACGGTTGTAATCAAAAGGCAAAAAAGTATAAATAAAACCCCCACACCTGACAACAAAAACCCTAGCCGCTTGCCCTCGTCGGAGAAGACGAACCAGACGCCGGAAGAGCCGGCTGCCGCTACCCGCCGCCGCACCGGGGAGTTTTCCGACCGCCGATCGAGGTAAATTTCATACCCCGGCTCATTTTTCAATGCTGAGTTCCCCTGTGGCTAAATCGGAGCCAAAATCCTGGCCAAACGGCCGGAAAACACGGCCGAAACCCAGCGGCGCCGCCGCGCCCCTCCTCGATTTTTGCCTCTGATGAGGCCCTTCCCGACCTCTGTTTGATACAATTTTTATATCACCGTGATCACCATTCTTTTCTCTACAGGTTGATCGGAGCCAAATCACCAAAACACGAACCCCGCCGGAGAGCCGCCGCACCCGAGAGTACCGCCGCCGGTAAGCTTGGGCTTTTCGTAATTTTTTTGGCCCTCCGAGGGCCCTAGGGTTGTTTTATCGCAGGGACCGATGCAAGTGTGGCCGAATTCGGCCGGAAACGGTCGAAAACAGCCAACCCGAGGCGAATCGCCGTCGCCAGAATTGCGATATTGGTCGAAAGGGGCCCTGGGTCTAATTTGGGATTTTTGGGACACGTGCAGGTACCAGTAGTACATTTCAGTTCCCTGGAAAAAATTCAGGAAAAATTAGGGACAGCTTGTAGGCGCACTGTAGAGCCGTACTCGGACCCCTAAACAAGTAAGGACCCCTCATCCTATTTCCTATCACGGTATTAAAGTTCAATAAATGATAAAATGGTATTTCATGAATCAACAGATGTGTGAAATTGTTTAAGGTCACTAATGGAGCCCGAGTCTGGTGTGTTTGTCGGTTAGCTGCTGTTTGGCCTATTTTATAGTTTTAAATGCAGTATGAGGTCTGATGTTTTCATTTCATAATTTCGTGTGCATATATCACTATTTTATTGATTATGGGTTGAATGACTGAGAACCCGATGTTGTATGTTATCTTGTTTGGCATAAATTACTGGTTTGCTTGTTTGTGTGTGATGTGATGATGCTGACTGAGAAAAAAAGGGAATAAAAGATTATGTAAATTGATAATTGTATAATGTGGTCAGCCTGACTAGATATTCTAGGAGATGGTGTACGGACCGGGTCCGTAGGGAACCCTACCGGGATTGTGGTCTCTTATACCAGACGGGGTATGGAGACCTTATGTGTTTTGGGGTCCATACCGGACGGGGTATGGGGACGACCCGTTTCACCCTCATACCGGACGGGGTATGGGGACGGCTTTGGAATCTGATTACAAGTGTTAATGGTTCACGGGTAGCGGGACCCCTATGGATCCCCATGGATACTAGTAGGCTGGTAAATGAGGAAAAATATGTTGTGTAATGTTTGAAATGCAAAAGGCGTGATAAGTATTATGTTATACAATTCATATGATTTCATGATGATGATAATGTTAT